CAGACCCCAATAAGATTTTTGCCCTATATTTCTTTCCTTTTAAACCCCCTTCATAATTCCCCACTCCGAACTTAGAGTTTGTTTAGCTTATGGCTAAACTCTTTCCCCTACCCTCATTCCCCACTGTTTGCCTGTTGAGTTGTATACCTACACCAAAATCTTAAGGCCATTTTATGAGTTCTACTGTCTTTTGACCAGTTCAGACAAAAGTGAGATTCATTTGGGGAACAATCCCTTGTCCCTTCCATGTTTGTATAGACTTGCCCACCCAGACTATTAATAAATCCTAGTATTCTTCCTACCTTTTCCCTCCCAGTGTATCTATTTTACACTACTTTTAATTTCTTTTTATAGATCCTCAAAACATAAAATCTCTTTCATCCTCCCTTTCTTGTTTCTTATGTGACTCTATGACCTCTAATGACATAAAAATTCTGAAAGGATTCTTGTATCATCCCCTTCATTAGATTGTAAATAGTTAATCTTTATAAAGTCCTTTGTAATTGCTCACTTGTATTTTACCTTGTTATATTTCTCTTGACTACCCTGTTTGTATTTCAAAGTTTCGGCTCAGATCTGATCTTTTCATTAAGAATGCTTTAAAATCCTCTATTTAACTAAAGATAAATTTTCCCCCATTGTAGGATTATATTCAGTTTTGCTGGGTAAATTATTCTTAGTTGTAGGCCCATATGTTTTGCCTTTTACACTATCGAATTCTGTGCTCTCTATAACTTTTTAGTGATAGCCCTATATACTTTGTGATCCTGACTGTGGCTCCTCAGTACTTGAATTCTTTCTTTCTGGATACTTGCAGTATTTCTTCTTTGTCTTGGAAGCTTTGGATTTTGGCTATGATGTTCCTGGGAACTTTCATTTTGGGGTTTCTTTCAGGAGATGATTAGTGCATTCTTTCTATTTTTCCTTTGCCTTTCTTGTCCAGGAAGTGTTTTTTCATGATTTTAAAAAATATAGGGGCAGCTGGGTGGCACAGTGAATAGAGTTGGCCCTGGATTCAGGAGGACCTGAGTTCAAATCTGACCTCAGACACATAATACTCACTAGCTGTGTGACTCTGGGCAAGTCACTTAACCCCAATTGCCTCACACAAAAAAAGAAGGGACCTTAGAGTTCATGTAGTCTACCCCCATATTTAAAAAAAAAGTCCTTTTTTTTTGTCATGGATTTTCAGGTAGTCCAATGAATTTTTGATTCTTAAATTGTTTTTCCTTGATCTGCTCTCCAGGTTGTGTGTGTGTGTGTATGTGTGTGTGTGTGTGTGTGTGTGTGTGTTTTGATATGAGATACCTTATATTTTCTTCTATTTTTTAAGTGTTTTGACTTTATTTTAATATTTCTTGCTGTCTCATGGACAACAAGTTGTTTCATTAATTTCTGTTTAGTTCATCCTAATTTTAGGGAGTCATTACTTGGGTAAGACTTTGTACTTTTTGTACCAAACTGTTATTTCTCTTTCCAAAGTCTTTCTTCCAAATTTCTCATTTCCTTTCCAGTTCTTTTCTCTATTACTCTCATTTAATTTATAATATCATTTTTTCTTTTAAATTCACACAATTTCTTTTAGGAATTCTAATCGATCTTGTAGGTAAGTTCTGGTTTGTTTTTTGTTTTTGGGGTTTTTTTTTTGAGGCTTTGCTTGTAAGTGTTTTGGAGTAATTCTCTTCTCCCAACTGTCTTGGGATCCCTGGCATCCCAATAGCTCTTTATCCTTTTGTTGTCATTGTTTACTCATTCTTCTTTCTAGCCCTTACTTCCCAGATTGGGACTTGTATTGGGACTCAACTCTTAATGTTTCTAGTGGAACTGTCACAGCCTTGTGTGAACTGATACAAAGAGAAGTGAGTAGAACCAGGAGAACAATTTATACAATAATAACAACATTAAAAACAAGCAACTTTGAAAGACTTGAGAATTCTGATCAATAGTGACCAGCCATGATTCTAGAGGACTGATGATAAAACATGCTGCCCACCTCCTAAGAGAGAGGAAATGGCTTAGGTCTAACTCAATTGGCACATTTCTTTCCCTAGGATGGTTCTGACAATTTCCCAGAAAGGACTGCGGGGTGATGTAGTGAAATCGTTGTTGATAGATACCTTGCTTTCTAGACACTGAAGAGTTGAAACTCTGCATAACTATAGCAATTGTGAATTTACCTGGAAGAAAAGGGATCCCCTAATTGATTTGATGGCAATTCTGAGTCCCTAAATAAAGGTGAGGGAGACCCTTTACCAAGCCCCTGAGGATGAAAGGAATATCCCCTCATCAGAGGGCACTAATGAGACAAAGATTTGATATCACTCCGCTGACGGGGTTCTTTGGGAGGAAGTGTAAGACTATAGGAGATATTGGCTGGTAGGTGAGGGGACACTAAATGAGTGATAACATAGGTAGGGTCAGTCTCAGCATCATCTCAGGTTCTGGGGTCAATGTGCATGCAAAAGGCTCATGACCTCTTAATGATTCTGACCCATGATCAGAATTGATGATTATTGGATGTGTCATCATATGATCTGTGCTACGGCCATGGTGTTTTCAGTCCTTCTCTTTCTCATTGTCATGGCTTTATTTTGGAAGATCCTCTTCGCACTGCCTCTAAGCATCACTGACCATATAGAAGATCTGGGACTTGGCCCTTCTAGTGAGGGGAGGGAAAGCCTGGGTCTCCCTGGTACTGTTCTCCATCAGAAGATGGTAATTTTTGTTTGTTTGTTTTTTCACGTCTTTCTGTTTTTTTTTTACTTGAACTGACCACTGTCTACAATGCTGCCCATGCCCAGCTGCTTGCATCTCCAAGGTTAGAGTTCTATAGTAATGGTCCTAACACCATTTAAATGGTAGATCTTCTAAAACAGAGATTCTTAGCCTAGAGTCAATGAATCTGTTTGTTTTTTATAAATGTTTTGATAACTATATTTCAATTTAATTAATTTCCTTTATAACTCTATGTATTTTATCTTGTGTATTTAAAAACATCATTCTGAAGAGTCCATATGTTTCATAAGTTTGCCAAAGAGGTTCATTCATAACACAAAAAAGGTTAAGAACTCTACTATAGAAGACCTTTAGAATTTTGCCACCAAGGGATGGGTTTTGGAAGAGGAATGTCTACTAAGATTGCTGCCATTTAGACTAGGCTGGTTTTTCTCCATGAAATTGAGGTTTGAGAACTTAATGACTTTCTGGGATTTGTAGTTCAGAGGGACAAACATTCTCTCCCATTCCTGAGAGTGATTTGCATTATCACAATCTTTGAGCTAGGAGGTGGACTTGAGCTGCACTTGGGAATTTTGATGTCCTTGATGGAGAAATGAGACAGAGAGAGCAGAGGTGACACAACACACAAGCAGGGAGTCTGCCTGCAGGAGAAAGGAGACAGACAAGAAAGGGGAGCAGACAACAGCGTAGGGGCTGATGACGATAAGCCCTGAAGAGAACATGTTGTCATGTTCTGGGACCCAGTTTGCTAGTGAAGAGTGGGAATTGACATAAAGACCCCCAGAGCTTATTTAAAAACATACAAACACCACATTTATTTTAAGAGATGGCTCTCTGGGAGAGGGAGGGATATATTGGTAAGTATAGATGAGGTAAAACAGAAGATGCTAATAAAATGCTCTTTTAAAAAGACATCTTGCAACAAATTTTGGTGCACATGGAAGGGAAGAGGCAGAGCCACGTGTGCCAGTGGTCCTGCTGGCCACAGAAGGAGACTCGTCACTGGGCTCAGACTGACATTTTTGGCATGGCCACCACTGTAAGAGAGGCTTGAGCCACCATCTGTTTGACTGGGACAGCTTGAGAGTAAGGACCCAGACCCAAAGCAAAGATTCAAGCTGCCTTCCAAAACCCTGGGGAGTGAGTGTAGCCAGGGCAGAGATTTACAGGTTGATTGGATTAACTGTTGCTTTTGAGAGCTATATCAGTTGGTGAGACAGAGGGAGTGTAAACTTGCCCCTCCTACGATATTTTCTTGCTTCAGTAAATTGAGACCCCTGAATCCTAAAAAGGGCGTGCGGACATGTAAATCCATCCCCCAATCTTTTTGCCACTGAAGGAAAGCAGGAAAAGCAATGAGAACTTTTATTTATGCTCAATATTAAGTTCATATTACGTGTGTGTGTCTCTAATCCTAGCTGTGGTTATATATACATTTTGAGAAATGGTTAGAAATAGTTTTTCTGTTATTTTTGTTCTCTATAATGAAATAAATATAGCTTCAGGCCAGAATATCCATGAGATGACATAAAATATAGACAGTCAAATTAAAGGGAATCTCTCAAGTGCAGGAAGATAGCAGAGTCACGAAGAAAGAGCCATAGTAGAGTTTTCATAATTTTAACATTTCAAAATTATATACCTTTTTGTTTCCCTAGAAAAATATTGAATTGGACCAACACTCAAAAACCACCAGCTGTGTTAGCTGGGGCACTGGCAAAGGGAGTAATTTTAGAATTTGTAGGCAGTGCACACTTTGGCCAGCAATGGGGATACTGTGGCCTTTGGTGAAGCTGAGGCTTACAAACTGATACCCTCTAATGAGGCTGATGCCTCCTGGTGACTAGTCAGTAAGTCAACAAGCATTTATTAAATATTTACTAGGTATCAGTCACTGTGCTAAGCTCTGGGAAACAAAGACAGGCAAACACATGGTCTCTGTCCTCTAGGAGCTCTCATTCTAATGGGAGGAGACAACATGAAAACAAAGTATAGATGGCAGGTAATCTCAGAGAGAAGGCACTGGTGTGAGAGTATCCTTTTTGGCTACAAAAGAGTTCTTTTAGAAAAGAATTTGATAGGCATAGACACTAGTTTACAAAATGCCTGTAATGGTTGAAGGACAATTTGAACCACTGAGGATTATATTATTCTTGATATTGATGACAAGGGATTTTGTAAGGAAAGAGATGTAACCATGAAATGATGATCTGAGGGGAGGATCTTAATTAATTAATAACTTGACAGTCTACTTTTCTTAGCTTGCAGAAAGAAAACAAGAGAATGAGCCAGGTGTGTGCTGCTATTGCTTCTGCAGGACCAGTAAGTATACACCCAGCCAATTCCATCTATCACATAAATGTGAAGAACCTGAAGAAAACTTAACAAACTTGTTTGAAATAACCTGAGAGAAAGGGAACAGGGCCAGAAAAGTAAGCACACTGATTACAACTATTTGAAGGACAAATTTATGGGTAAATGTAGGGATGTATGGACAGAGAAAATGAAAGGATACACAGATGGAGTAGTTATGGACCCTGTAGATGTTGAAATTCATTTTTTCAAACATCAATAGTTGTTTAACTAGTTTTGTTGATATTCAGAGTTAAGTTCCTATTAAATATATATGTAACCTTAGCTGTGGTTTTTCAGATATATCTAAATCTGTATCTATAGATATACACAATATATACACATACATATATAATATATATGCTATACATATTTGTGCATATATATTTTTATATGTATGTACATATATACATATTTTAATTGTATTTTTTATAGAGTCATAGAGATAGGTAATGAGCTAGGCCCAGAGTTGAATAGAAGGAGTCTATTAGACTGAATCAAATTTGGGGAAATGCCCATGTCTTTCAATGATCTCCAACTTCTCATTGCCACAAAAATTCATCTCTTTCATGCCAATATCCTCCTGGTGCTGTATGGTGCTGTGTGACCCCAAATCATGGAACACTACAGAATCAGAGGAATTAAAATTATCACTAACCAAAAGGATAACAGACAAATGAATGGTCATCACGAGAAGGATGTAGCATGTCATTAATGATGACCTGGCATAAAAGACATTATAAAAGCTATGTATGATGAGAAAAGGAGGTGGCCCAGTCACGAAGCAAGAATAGGAAACTACAGGTGAATGGACCAAATGAAATATTAGTATCCCCTAGTATTAAAATAATGAGTGATAAACAATGACTATAACTATGTGAATGAAAAGATCACTAAAAGGAAGTTGAACGGTTCCCCCAAATGTCAGTTGGGGCAGAGACAAAGGCTGGTAAAATGTGAATTGTCCAGTGAGAGAGTAGACTGAGAAAGCTTTGAAGTCCATTCCTGAGGGAAACTACAATCAAAGAAGAAAGAGTGAGAAAGTGAGCAAAAGGGGGAATAAAAGGAAAAAAGACTGAAATTACAAAATATTTCAGGAAGAATAAAATTCTGTTAAAGACCTTGAGCACACACATATAAACCAACAGAGAAGATATTAATAAAAGAAAGGAATATTGCCTCCAGATCAGGTAGAAGAGTACAGGCATCTACAAAATGATATTGTTAGACTAAGGAAAATGAATCACTTGAAATCAAATGAAATCAAATTAAAAACTAAAAAAAATATACTGATGAGAGAGAAACCCTGCTGATTCCCAGGAAACTACAACATGATGTTCTTAAATGGTTTAAAAAGTAAATAAAAATTATAAAAGCAGAAATTTTGGCCTAAGCAGAAGAAGTAATTGACAGAATAGAAAAAATTGAAACCACAGCAGCAAACCTTACTAAAGAAACAAAAGAGAGAACAAGTGACTGAGAATTCAAAAGAGAGAACAAGTGACTGAGAATTCAAATATGCAGAAGTGAAGGACATTTTGGAAGAAGAGAAACAAAAATCAATAACATTAAAAGAAAATATTATCTCCATAAAGCAAAACATATTGATCTTGAAGAGAAGATGAAAAGAAACAATATAAGAATTATGGTTCTCCCAGAAGAACACAGGTCAAAAATCCTAAACACTATAATGTAAGAAACAGTGCTAGAAAATGGGGGCAGCTAGGTGGCGCAGTAGATAGAGTACCAGCCCTAGAGTCAGGAGGACCTGAGTTTAAATATGACCTCGGACCCTTGATACTTACTAGCTGTGTGACCCTGGGCAAGTCACTTAACCCCATTGCCTTGCCAAAAAAATAAAAGGAAAGGAAGGAAGGAAGGAAGGAAGGAAGGAAGGAAGGAAGGAAGGAAGGAAGGAAGGAAGGAAGGAAGAAAATGGCCCAGTATTTCTGATTATAGCAAACAAAGTACCAGCCAAAAGAATCCACAGATCACCTCCAGGAAAACAGTAACATTAGCGAATTAATCTCTGCTACAAATTCCAAGACATATAGTAGTTAAATTTAACAATTCCAAAGACAAAAACCAAATTCCTCAAGAGGACACCAGAAAAGGGGCAGCTAGGTGGTGAAGTAGATAGAGCACTGGCTCTGGAGTCAGGAGGACCTGAGTTCAAATTCAGACTGAGACGCATAACCCTCACTAGCTATGTGACTCTGGGCAAGTCACTTAACCTCAACTGCCTCTCAAAAAAAAAAATGTATATATATATGTACCCACAATAAAAGAATAAGATGCTCAAGATTGAGCCCAAGGTGACATACCCTGCAAACCTGAGTCTAACTTTTAATGAACAAAAGATGGACCTTCAACTAAAAGGAATGTTTAAAGCATTTTTATAAGGAAAACCAGACCTGAACAAGTTAGTTGTTTTTCAAACATCCCAGACAAGAGATAATACGGGAAAGGTAAACAAATACGTCTGCAAGGACAAGGAAGAACAACAGAGATACCACAAAGAGATTTCTTTCTAAAAATACTGAGGGTGACAAGAATGAAAATGGAAGTCAAATAGGAGATATGACAGAGAAAAAGGCCTGAAACATCGTGGGCTGAGCCTTACAACTCCCTGCCTGCAGTTGAATGAACATGTCGGGTTGGGTTTTGTTTGTTTTTGTTTGTTTGTTTGTTTGTTTGTTTGTTTTGGTAGGATTAAATTGAAGAATGGAAGGCACATTAAAAAAAAGAGTGGGGAGGAGGAAGAGAGAGGGGGATGTGTAACATACTCTGATCAAGTCAAGGGTTTAACAGTGAAGGGAAGATAATTCTTGTAGTCTCTCAGGAAGAAGCCCTATAGGAGAACAGTTATGAGGCAAAAGGAGTGACCAAAACATATGGAAAGAAAGGGTAAAATTTGTTTACATGATGGGAGGGAGTGCCACTAGGGAATACTCCCCTGAGGCAAGAGAAATATTTTATAAAGGTAGATCAGAACCTTACAATGGGTATAATCTGCAGGGATTTATTGCTTTAAAAGACCACTTATCCTGCCTCAGAAGAAGGGGAATCAGAACCCCTAGTGTCGACTGACCCTCAGAAGAGTGGGAAGGCATGCACCCAGAGAAGAGATTTCATGGCAAACAGGATAGTGATGAACTGCACATTCAGGAAAATATGAAAATTTCTAACGTGGGCAATACTTTTATCCTCTCTATCACCTGCAGGAATTGGTATTTCTTTTTCTTTAGAATTGGTATTTCTAAGCATGAAGCACAACAGAAAAAGTGGGCCAGAGATGAAGATCTACAAAGCAATAACATGGAAAATATTTAGAAGCAGGAACCCAAAATAGGTAGTTTAGAAACTTTAATTCCATGAAGAATATAGAGACTAAAGAAGGACTAAATAAGTATAAGGGTCATGAATCAAAAAATAAACATCAAGAATAGAAAGGAAAGATAAATGATGAAGAGAATGAAGAAGAAATCCTTTTTAGACAAAGGTGCAGAAAATGAAATTTAAGAAACTAACAAAACAAGTTGAAGGGGAGGAGAGATTTTACTTGACTACTTAACTAAAAGGAAAGAAAAGAGAGGAAGAATTATTTAACTAAATTAAAGGAAGGAAGAAACAGGAACTAATACATTGACAAAAACTTCAAAACAAAGGAAAAGTACATCAAATTGGGGTGAGCAAGATGAAAGGAAGAGAAGTGGTGGAATAAGGTTGCCTTAAGGTAGATTAATCTAAAATAACTGGAGACAAAGTACTGCCCTTTACAGAGGAAGAGGGAAAAAAACCCTCAATTTGAAAACCCCCCTCCAATAGTAGAAGTGAATGGAGAACCTAACTGTCATAACTTTAAATATAAATGGATTGAATAATCCAAAATAAATGACAAGAGTGAAAGATTTGATAAGAAAATAAAACTCCACAATTTGTTGCTTAACAGAAACATTACTGAAAAAACAAAGGCATACACAAAACAAAAATGAAGATCTGGAACAAAATTTACTACCATCAGATAAATCCAGAAAAAGAAGGAATTACAATCATACTCTCAGACACAGCAAAAAGAAAAATTCACAACATAAAGAGATAAACAAGGGTTGAATATTATATACATTATCAAATGTGGGTTTTTTAATTGTTTTTGTTCTGTTTTGATTTGTTTGTTTTGTTTTGTTTGTTTGTTTGTTTTGATTGTTTTTTCTTTTCCAAAAGGGAGAGCTGAATTAGGATGCAGTGGGAATTAAATGCTTGTAATATATAGACAAAAGTAAAAAAAAAATCCCATATCTTAAAATAAAAAAGAATGAAAGGAAAACCTCTAATACATTAGGTGGATTCTTTGGAGAATTTGTGGGAAAATGTCATACAGTTGTGCATGTGTGGGTTACATATGAATAAAATTAATAAAGACATAATTACAATAATAATAGTAGAGTGAGAAAATACTTGCAACAAAAATCATTGAAAAAGGTAATGATAGCCAAGATATATGGTGAGCTGACAAAAATTTATAGCACTAAACTCCAGATTTTCAGAAGAATTATAAACTATAAATGAACACATGAAAACATGCTCCATATCACTAATGGGAAGCAAAATGAAAATTGAACCAGCTATGTGTTTTTACCTCACACTATGAAAATTAGGAAAGATAAAAGACATTGAGAACAATGTTGAAAGGGCTATGAAAAGAGAGACACTGATATGCTATTGGTGGAGTTGGGAAGTGGCATGTCTATTCTGGACCGCAATTTGGAATTTTGTAGGAAAAGTGAATTATCCATGCTCTTTGACTCAGTGATCCCACTACTGGACATAATAACCCAAGGAAGTCAAAGACAGAAACAAAAGTCCAATATATGCCAAAATATTCCTTATTTCTTTTCCTTATTTCTTTTCTTTTTTTTTTTTAAGGCAATTGGGGTTAAGTGACTTGCCCAGGGTCACACAGCTAGTAAATGTCAAGTGTTTGGTCTGAGGCTGGATTTGAACTCAGGCCCTCCTGACTTCAGGGCCAGTGCTTTATCCACTTCGCCACCTAGCTGCCCCCCCCCCAAAATATTCCTAAAAATACTTTTTGTGATAGCAAAGAACTGAAAAGAAATTAGGTTCCTGCCAATTGGGTAATGCTGGGTAATGGTTATATTAATTTAATGGAATGTTTTTATGCAGTAATACTATAAGAAATGATGACTATGCAGAATTCAAAAAAAATGAAGATCTATATGAACTGAAGAAGAGTGAAATAAGCAGAACCAAGAAAACAATGTACATTGCTACAACAATGGAAAAGAAACAGCACTAAAATGAAATAGAACTTGCAATCATTGAAAAACGAATGAACCTCCTAGTGAAGAGTTTAAAAAAATGTGCTTCCTCCTCCAGGAGGATGGGGAGGGGACTACTAAGCCAGAATGTTGCATACATTGACAGACATGTTTTCTGTATCAGATTTTTTTTGGCAACTGTTTTCCTTTGTCACAAACAAGAATTCAAGCTGCGGCAGATAGAGGTAGGAAACAGTTGTGATATAAAGACAATAAAATATATTTTAAACAAATAATCCCTCCATTAAAAGATCAACTGCATAAGTACCAGATGAGGGAGACATGTCTAGATAACAGTTCATGTAATGAGCTGTGGTAGATTCTTAATTAGTCTATTTTGGGGAATACTTTTACTTTAAATTTTTTTACTTAAAATTTTCAATGAATAAAAATCAAATTTCTTTTCTTTCTACCTATTCCCATTGGAAAAATATGTAACAAATATGCAGAGTTAAGCAAAACAAATTCCTGCATTGTCCATGTCTAAAACGTACATATATTTCATTCTGCATCATGAGTCCATCAACTCTCAGTCAGGAATTAGGTAGCATGCTTCATCATTTTGTCATCTGGAATAATGGTTGGTCCTTGTGTTGATCAGAGTTCTTAAGTCTTTCAAAGTTGCTTGTTTTTGCAGTTGTTATATAAATTGTTCTCCTGGTTATGTTCACTCTGTATCAGTTTACATGCATCTTCCTATGTTTCTCTGAAACCATCCCTTTCATCATTGCTTATGGCACTATAATATTCTATCATATTCATATACCATAATTTGTTTTTGTCTTCTTCAACTGATGAATATCACCTTAGGTATCAGTCTTTTACTACCATAAGAAAAAGTTATTACATGTTTTTTTGTACATATGGTTCTCTTTTCCTCTTTCTTTGATCTCTTTGAGGTATAGGACTGGTAGTGATATAACTGGTTTAAAGATTATGCACAGTTTAATAACATTTTTGTTATAGTTCCAAATTACTTTTCAGGATGTTTAGACCAATTCACAGCTTCACCAACAATACATTAATATTCCAGTTTCCTGGAAATCCCTTCAACATTTTCCATTTTCCTTTTTTTTTTTTTGGTCAATTTTGCAAGTCTGAAGGGTGTGAAATAGAATTTAAGAGTTGTTTTAATTTGTATTTCTCTAATTATTAGTGATATGGAGAATTTTTTTTCATATGACTATAAATAGCCTGGATTTCTTCCTTAGAAAACTACCTATTCATATCCACTGACCATCATTTATTAATTGAGGAATGGCTTTTGCTCATATTAATTTGAACCTTTATATATCTTGATCAGGGAAACTTGCTGCAAGAAAGTTTTCCCTAGTTATTTGCTTTCCTTCTAATTTTAGTTATTCATTTTATTTGTATAAAAACTATTGAATTATATACATACACATATATAAATTTTATATATTGCATAATCAAAATTATCCATTTTTTCTTTTGTGATCTTCTCTATTGCTTATTTGGTCATGAACTCTTCCTCTATCCATAAATATGAAAGGAAATTTCTTCCTTGCTGCTCTAATTTGCTTATGATACCACCCATTACGTCCAAGTCATGCTACCTATTTGGAGCTTATCTTGTTATATGGTGTGAGGTCTATACCTATAGTATAGACTGTATACCTAGTTTCTGCCAGACTGTTTTTCAGTTTTCCCAGCAAAAAAAAAGTCAAATAGTGAATGAGTTCTTACTGGGCTGAGCTCTTTGACTTTATCAAAGACTTGGCTACTAGATTAATTTGTTTCTGTATATTTTGTACTTAATCTCTTCTACTGACAGACCTCTTGATTTTTTAACAAATACCAAATTGATTTGATAATTACTGGTTTATAGTGAAGTTTGAAATTTAGTAATGTTAGGTTCTCTTCCTCTCTTTCATTATTTCCCTTGAGATTCTTAACTATTTCCCCCCTACAGATGAATTTTAATGTTTTTTTTCCTAGCACCATAAAACAATTCTTTTGTCACTTAATTGGCATATCATTGAATAAGTTAATTAAGTTAGTTTGCATTGCCATTTACTTTATATTAACTCAACCTACTCATAAGCAATTAATTTTTCTCCAGTTGTTTAGGTCTGTCTTTATTTCCATTAAAAAAGTATTTTGTAATTCTACTTATATAATTCCTATGTGTGTCTTGGTAGATAGACTTCCAAGTATTTTATACATTCTGTAGTTATTTTAAATGAAACTTCTCTTTATATCTTTTCCTGCTAGATTTTGTTAGTAATATACAGAAATGCTGACAATTTCAGGGAATTTGTTTTACATCTTGCAATTTTGCTGGTGATTACTTATTTTAACTACTTTTTAGTTGATACTCTAGGGTTCTCTAAGTAAACTATTATATTGCCTTCAAAAATAAATAATTTTGTTTCTTCTTTACCAGTGCTTATTTTAAAAATGTATTTATAATAGGCTTTTATTGTTGATTTTTCATTTGATTTTAATCCAGGACATAATATTTTATCTTTATAAGAGAACTGAGCTTATTCATTTTAGAATTACAATTGTTCAATTTAATTTATTTCAGGTCAATTTAACAAACAACTGTTTATCTCCTATCATGTGCAAAGAATTGTGTTGAATGCTTGGAAAATGAAAAATGACCAAATGACCTGATTAATAAAGAGAATATTACATATACATAAGTAAGTATATAAAATGCGATAAAGGTAAAATAGGGACTGAACTAGCATGAAGAATTTGGGGGGGGGGAGAATATTAAGCTTTGATTGAGTAGAGAAGCCTTCATGAAGGCCTAATTAGTGCCTAATCTGGTTCCAGAGGAAGGGAAGTACTTCAACAGATGGTGACATAGAGAATCAGATCCTTTCTGGAGGGGGAAGGATACATGTTCAAATGTACAGAGGTGGGAAAAAGAAGATTAAGATCTGGGAAATAGTCCAGTTTTGCTAAAACATTAAGTACATGAAGAGAACTGGTATGAAATGATTATACCAAATTGTAGAAGGCCTTGAATGCCAGCACAAGGACCTTGGATTTTTGAGTTGTATTTAGTAGTGAGCCACTGAAAGTTTTTGACCAGGGGAGTGGTCATGAGACTGGCAGTTGTGTGAAGGATGAGTTGGAGAAGGGAGAGAATAAAACCCAGGAGACCAGGGAGGAGGCCACCATAATAGTTCAAGTGGGAGATATGAAGGGTCTTACCAAGGGTGATGGTATGGCATGAAGCTCAGACCACTGCTGTGCTTTAATAGTAAACTTCGGAGGCAGAGAAAAAAGAAACTTGGTAGAATTATAGATGACTACAGCATGAAGTGCCATCTTCCTGGCCTTGCCATGGGGCCATGAATGGCTGTATAAGGGAGGTCTTAAGCATGTCAGGGAAGATGGAATGTTACCTACTAAACTCTCAGGTTAGATGACTCTACTTCTTGATGAGGCTAACATTGTATATTTGACATGCAGGCCCCAGAAGTACAGGCATGAGGTTCAGCTAAAGATTTAGCTGGAAACTTGAGTTCCCTCTAAGTTTCACAATGTCTTAAAGGGCCATAGATGGAGAGAATAGGAAAGGAGAGAACATGGAGCGGTGTCCTATAGGATTTACCCTCTTGGAGGCAAAAGCCATGAGCTATGGCAGCTAGGGAAGTGGTACCAACAGGATTGGGATTGGCATATCTTCCTTCCAACCCTCATCACAGACTGTTATCAGGTGACTCGACAAAGTCTCTTTGCAGGAGACCCCTCCCCACTGCAATCTTAGGCTTCCTTAGAGAAACTTTTCCTCAGAGAAACTTTTGGGGATTTCTTTGGCAAGGGGAAGGTGTTCAACATCTGTGATATCATGGGTATGGAAACTGTCCATAGATGTAGATGAGTAATTCCTCTGTAAAGTGGAGTCTTAGGGAGTTGTCTCAAGCACTATGAGGTCAAACCACTTGTATATGCCAAAGGCTGAATTTAATTAAACCTAGGGCTTTCTGACTTCAGGCCCAAACCTCTGTCCACTATACCATGCTGCCCAGATCATTTCCAACCTGGAGTACTTGGTTCAATTTTGTGGGTCACATATTAGGAAGTACATAGGTAAGTTGAAAGCCATCAGGGTATAATGGATAGAGGTTTGGTCCTGGTGTCACAAAAACCTGTGTTCAAATCCTGATTCTGATACATACCAGTGGTAAGACCTCTCAATGCCCCAGACAACTCTCTTAAGACCCCACATTACAAATAAGTTACTAATTGACACTGGTGGTCAGAGTTTCCACACCTATAACATCACAGGTCCTGAATACTTCCTAAAACAAGAAACCAAAAACAATCTGCTAAAGGGGCAACCATCCAAAAGATGACAACCAGGATAGTGAAATATCTAAATTTTATGTCCTGTCATTATCCTTTGAATGAGCCGAGGGCAAGCCTGGTGAAGAGAAAACTGCAGAGGGATGAGGAGAAGGTGGACCTCATTGCTATCTTTAAACATCTAAACAGCTGTCAGATGGAAAAGGATTAGATTTGTTCTGTTTGACTCCCAGAGGGCAAAACTAGGAGTAGTGGGTGAAGGTTTTGAAGAGGCAGATTTAGATTTGATGCAATAAAAAAAAACTTCCTCACAATTAGAGCTATCTGAAAGCAGCTGCCTTGGGAATTCTTCAAGCAAAGACTGGAAGATAATTTGTTTGGAAAGTTGTGGGGAAATTCCAGTTCAGCTATGGTTTGATAAGATGAAATTCTTGGATTTTTTGATTCTGTAAAGGCTTTCTCTGACATATTAAAACCTAGCAATGCCAGCCTGGCCACAGAAGGGTATCAGCAACCTTGCTGGGTGTAGGTTTTAAGGATCTGGATTAAAATTGTGCTTCTGATTACTTACTTACCTGTGTGACCTTGAGCACACTCACTTTTGTAAAGTGAGGAGATTGGGCTGAATGATCTCTAATGTGCCTTTCTGCTCCAAATCAATGATACTGCTCACTCTGTCTTCAAAACCTTTCCACCTGCTTCAAGGACACTCAGGTGCAATCTCAGCGATGGCCACTGGATGGCAGCTCCAACACCAGTCCTTGCACATTGCTGAGCTATGGCTGTGGCAGAAGACACTGAAAGAGAATCGATAAATCAATCAATAAATATTTATTGGTGATCACAATGTCCTAAAAAGAGGTTCAAGCTTTTCCTGCCAGGAATGAGTGAGTGAGTATGTGGTCCCTTCTGTCCCAGAGGTCATGGAGTCTGTATTGTCAAGTGGGTCAGGTGTCCGTGATGCATCAGCATGAACTCAGAGCCCTCACAAGCACAATCTAGGGGAAGCGTTCTTGGGGATAGAAAGCAAGTGCTTTAGGGCACTTAGCTCCGGGTCCTTCCTTTCCCAGTATCTCCTTCTCTGGTTCTTTAGGATGAGGCCACAACAGAAAAGGGAGAGAAAGAGAAGGTGAGGCCAGGAAGGAGCAGTTAGCACTCTCAATGATGGGGATGAGCCTGGGACCACGCCCCCTGATCCACGGCAGCGTAGGGGACTGTACTGTGGTCATTTCAGCCTTCCTGCAAGATTCTGCCATTCTCTGAAGTGGGAGACTTTGTGGAGACAGACAGTTCTCCTTAAAGAACAGACCAAAGGATCCATCTTCCCCTTCATAAGTGATGTCCAACGCAAGCTCTTCATTGTCAGGAAGGAAGGTAAGGAATAAATATTTCTATAGCACCTGTGTTCCAGGCACTGTGCTAAGTGCTTTACAAATATCTCGTCTGATCCTTACAACAACCCAAGGTAGGTACTGTTATCATCCTCATTTTACAGTTAAGGAAACTGAGTCAAACAAAGGTTAAGTGACTTGCCCAGGATCACACAGCTAGTAAGAGTCTGAAGCCAGATCTGAACTCAGGTCTTAACTCCAGCAGCCTTTAAAGCTTTAGTTTTTGTATCCTCAGAGCCTAGCATGCATCAATCACTTGATAAATGTTATGGAGCAGCTAGTTTTTCCTTCAGAACCTCTCCAGGTAATCATCAGTGTGTGTGTGTGTGTGTGTGTGTGTGTGTGTGTGTGTGTGTGTGTGTGTGATCAGTACTGAAACAAACGAATGACCCTTGAAGTGACTGGGCCTGTATGAAAACAGTCACCAATGGTTGATGCTTTCCATGCCTTGCCCTGTGACTCCTTGCCTCTGCTTAAAATAGACATGCTGAGTGGACTTCAGAAAAACCTGGAAAGACTTGTATGGACTGATGCTGAGTGGAGTGAGCAGAACCAAGAGAATGTTGTACACAGTAACAGCCACTTTGTGTGATAACTAACTCTGATAGACTTAGCCCTTCTCAACAATGCAAGGACCTAACACATCTCCAAAGGCCTCATGATGGAAAATGCTATACACATCCAGAAAAAGAACTATGGAGTCTGAATGCAGATCAAAGTATACTATTTGCTCTTTTTTTCTTCTGTTGTTCTGTTTCTTCTTTTTTGTGGTTCCTCCTATTGGTTCCAATTCTTCTTTACAATATGATTAATGTGAAAATATGTTTAATGGGAATGTACATGTAGAGCTTATATCAGATTGCATGTGGTTTTGGGGAGGGAGATGAGGAGGGAGGGGGAGAAAATTTAAAACTCAAAAGTTTAAGGAAGTGAATGTTGAAAACTAAAAATAAATTAATTAATTAAAAAATAAACATGGATATGGGTGAGAAAAAAAATAAAATAGACATACTAGGGAGCAAAAGTCTGGAGTGAGGAGAGAAGAGCAAGGAGACCAGAACTAAATTATCCCTAGGAATTGTAGGTCACTAAGGTCAGGCAAAAGAGGCTGAATCAGGATGTGACAGTTGGAGAATTCATCCATTCACTGGCCTTAGAGACCCACTTGTGATTTTGTTTTATTTTTTAAAAATTTTTTTGTTTAGGCAATTGGGGTTAAACGACTTGCCCAGGGTCACACAGCTAGTAAGTGTCAAGTGTTTGGTCTGAGGCTGGATTTGAACTCAGGTCCTCCTGACTTCAAGGCCAGTGCTCTATCCATTGCACCACTAGCTGCCCCGAGACCAACTTGTGGTTTTGAACAGGTGTAGGGCTGATTGTGAATCCTGTGTGTGCAAGCTAGTTAGGGCAAGACTGGCACCACTGAGAGTGGATAGTTATAACAATCAAAACTTCTGGGGTGGTTGGGGGCAGGGGAATAAGTGATTAGCTCTTTCTGTCCCTACTGAACGTTAGTCACCTGGGTTAAGATTCATAGCAGATGCAGTTCCTGTCTTGGCCACAAGGTGGTAGTATTAGTTCAGACTACCATTCACAATAAGCTTACAAGGCAGCTGAGGACCAAGAGAAAAGATAAGATGGACAAGAAGGGAGTTCCAGAGCGGGGAATGAGGTCTCTGGACACTAATTGGTCAAGTCACGTACTCTTCCTAGATCTTAATTTCCTCATCTGTAAAACGAAGGGGTTGATCTAGATGCCTCTGAGGTCCCTTGAAAGCTCTAGATCATGACCCTTGATCTGATGGTTCATCACCAAGTTCCATGCCCACATCTTCCCCCCCTTAGCCCTTGTGCAGGATGGAGGTGAGGCATTTGCAAGGGGTACTGTATGGGAATTTTGAAGACAGGATTTTCATGGGAGACTGCTCTGAAGGGATAGCCCCTATTGCACCCACAAAGAGCCTAGTTTCC